GAAAGTGATGAATCCATATTCATATATTCGAAATCGGTAATTCACTAATTTGTCTTCTCAAATCGGATTTCGATAAGTCGAATGATATTTCGATTTGACGCATATTAACGGCACATTCTTGATGAATATAATATGCACATTATCGGTGTAAAATCTCCTACAAACTTATACATCAACAACCTGAATTTTGTAAGTATCTCTTTGCTCCTCATTATTTTACGATTTCAATTGAACAAAATATAGTTCTTTCACGAAGAAATCACTTGTGATAGAGTAAGTATCTCTTTGCTTCTATTTGCAACATTGAATTGAATGTTAAAGACAAACTAAATAATCCAATTAAGCTTCGGTGTTTTTTAGCTAGGTCTTATTGTGAACAGTTGTTGCGATTTTAGAAATTGAGTCGTGGTAAATAATGTAAATTTTAATTGTTTTATTGCCTTCTTATTAATACGAGGAAGAAGGGTAGAATAGATTATAAGCCAGAAAGAACTCTATCAATGTATGTGATAGAGTGGTGGTGGCTGTGGAAGGTGTTGATTATGAGTGGTATGTTGAGAATTTACTTAATCATGNTCTAACAAGCACAAAGTAGGCTATGATACCACTGTCGGGAATTTACTTAACATGTACGAGAGAAGTAAATAATTTTTCAATGCCCACCAAGGATCTGCTTTGTGTTTAGATAGAAATTGTGATAAGAATTATACATTTGATAAATTCTACAAACTCCTTTACTTTTCTTGAACTCGAATAATCACGATCTGCAATTCAAGTTGTCCAATTATCCAGTCTCCAATGATAATCTACATAGAGAACAAGAATGAGGACTAGAGTTTTCTTTTCTTGTGCTAACAAGAATAATGAAAAATCTCTACAGTTTTCAAACCCTACCAGCCTATTAATATAAGTCCAAGCGGGCTTGGCACATCTCTTAAACTTAATTTGGTCCAATATTTAATTAATCAAATTAATTAAATCTGGTACATGAATTAATTAATCCAATTAATTAATTAATTAGGGCCTATTAATAAGTAAACCAATTATTAATTGGTGAATCTCATTTTTCTAGTTCTCTTTTGTGTGTGACCTATTAGATTCTCAATTACGATGCCTAATAACGTGAATTATTTTTTTGATCTAATCAAAATCGATAAATTAAAACACTCCTTTTAATTTACGACTAATTCACATTTGCCGTCCTACATTGAGATCTAGCAATGTGTAGGGCAATACATGCGACGGGAAATGTCACGTGGTGTGACAAAACCAAACTTGTTCGTTTACCGTGAAACTATAATCCTTTCGTCATTATAATCACATCGATTACGAGATATGGTTATGTGTCAATCTCAATAATTGATCATATCTTTTATCCTACTTGTAGGTCAACGTAAGTCAAAAACTCATTTTCGACTTATGATTTCACTTTAGCCAAGGATTTCATTATCAACTTAATTGGATAGAATGTAGATCATAATCTCTTATTATCTAAGCGTGACGAATCCTCTATTGATTATTCACAACATTCATATGATTCTTGATATACCCGAACGATGTCGAATTAGCGACCCTTTGCAGAGCAACATCCAATATCACCAAAGTATGACCGTCCTCATATAAAGCACTATGATGACTTCAAGTCAAATGACCAATTCCACTACTGGACATTAGAAATTAACCACGACACTCAGATAGTTATCCATGTGGAATCTCCCCAGCGGGTCTCCAATTTTTTGTTCTTACCTTGTAAGATTAGCTACTTACTTCACAAGTAAGAAATGCCACACGTGATGGTCTAACCGTAATAACNAAATTGCAAAAACTTAAATCTACGGACTATAATATTTAATAAAATTTCAATAGAAAATTAATTTAAATAAATTATAGATCTTGCCAGAAAAAAATGCATTAAACATATTAAAAATGTTTACAACCTAAATTGATTGGGTTTAAGGCATAACATTTACATGGTAGTGGTTGTTGAAGGTGATGACAATGGGGTTGTAGGATTTGGTTTGGTTTAGTGGGTGGGGTGGGGTGGGGATAACAATGGGACGGGTATGAGACGGGTTGATCATTCCTACCCCCTTCCCGTCGTGTATTTTCATTATCTTACCACATCTCCATACCAGTTAAAGTGAGACGGGGTGGGGTAGGACCACGGATCGCCCCGTTTATTTTTCTTTTTATTATTTATTTATTTTGCTTTTATTCTTTTATATCTTTAGTTATTATTACTATTTTTTTCCAATTTCTTAAAAGAAATTTATATTCTCTTTGCAAATGATGATAACTTTTTTATTTTTATTTGATAAAAAGTTCCAATTTGAAATTAACTTTAAACGGGCAGGTAGTCGGACGGTGGCTATGTTTCTTATATCTGCCCCATACCCACTTCAGGACAATAACCCCGTCCTGTCCCTGCTCTATTTACCCGATTAGGCGTGTAATCCACGCCTCATTCGAGGCAAGGTCGTAGGTTTTTTTTTGTGATTCCTAATTGGGGAAAGGAAGATGAACAATATTATGCTCCTTTGATTTCTTTATTTTTTTTAATTTAATTTTTAAAATTGTCTTATGTTAAATTTGTAAAGTTGCCATTTTTTCTTTGGTCACAGTCAATTTTTCTAATCAACGATTAAATAGAAGAAATCCATATGTATGTCCTTCTATTGCAACAAAACGAAATGTTTGAAAATATGGATGTCACAAACAAAATGTTTGAGTAAAATCTGTAATAAAATGAAAGGTTTGAAACCACTGCTGCAATTATCCCCAAAAATATTAAAACTTTTTCCTTTTCGTAAAAAATAAGGATTCCTAAATTAAAAAAATAAGTCCATGTTTGATAATTATTATTTTTAAATTTTTCTTTCGACACGATAAAATATTTTTTTTGACGTAACTCCAAAATATTTCCGTATTTTTTAATTATAACTCTATTTTCCACTGTTGACCTAAATTAGGAAACGAAAAAAATTCTACCACCTATAGAAGCCGAGCATCCAATTGCATTAATAATTTTAGAGAAGAAAAAGGTTTTATTAGGGTTTAAGTAGCAGCATTGAGAACGCAAAAGGGTTTTACACCTGCTTCTTCCGCACACAACAATGGCATCTCTAGGAAAAAAGAATAAATCCTTAAGAAGATCCAACCAAGCCAGCGACAGCATACTGTCACGAGTCTCTGATTATTCGATCGTGAGGAAAGGCAAAACCGCTGCCTGTGACGCGGCGTACTTGGCGAAGCGCCTGATGAAGAGCACAGGCAAGGCGGCATGGATTGTGGCTACCTCGTTTATTGTTCTGGGACTGCCGCTCATCATAGAGATGGACAGGGAGGCGCAGTTAAATGAACTCGAGCTCCAGCAGGCGTCTCTTCTTGGCACTTCGGCTTCCCAACCTTCCTTCATGGGTCCATCCTAAGTGAGTTTAGTTTGTATTGGCTTTACTTTTATGATTTCGGAACTGGGTTTTGTGTTCAGGGTTTTGAGAAAACTGGATGATATTTGATGAGATTATAATATTCTTTATATTTTGAGATAGTCTTGAATTTTGATACAATTTCATCCAAACCGAATTTTGTAATGATCTTTTTTTTAGTGATTTTGGAACTGGGTTTCGAGAAAACTGGATGTTATTTGATGGGATTATAGCGTAGATTATTGGAGTTAATATTTGACCATATTCTGATTTAGTCTTGAGTTTTGTTAAAATTGCGTCTAATCCAAATTTCGTAATGATTTTTTTTTTTTTGCTGGGATTATAAAGTTGATTTTTAGTATTAATGTTTGTAAATATTGTGAGAAAGTCTTGAATATTGCTACATTTTGTCCAATCCAAATTTTGTAATGATTTTGGTTGGCATTATAAAGCTTATTGTTAGTATTAATATTTGTCAGTATTATGAAAAGGTCTTGAATTTTGGACAATTGAGTCCAATCCAAATTTCGTAATGTTCTCTTTTACTGATTTTGGAACTAGGCTTTGAGAAAACTAGATGTTCTTTGCTGGGATTATAACATTGATTATTAGTATTAATGTTTGTCAATATTGTGAGAAAGTCTTGAATTTTGTGACAGTTACATCCAATTCAAATTTCGTAATGATCTTTTTTAGTGATTATGGGGAACTGGGTTTTGAGAAAAATGGACGTTCATTGATTATTAGTATTTGCGTTCGTCAATACTGTTAATGTTGAATTTTGTTACAATTGTGCCCAATACGAATGCATGCTAAAAACCTTTCACCCGAAAGGCTACATATATAAAGGTGATTGATGGTAATACTAGGCCTTTAATGAGGGTGCCTTTCGATTCAGCTTTTTGGGCTTTTTACTTGAATGAATATTAGTTTTGCTTTGTCTTTTATTTTTATTGAGTGGAGTTGTCTTAGTTTTGTTATTGGGAAATAAACCGGATGATAAAAATGTTTTGTTAAAAGGTTGAGTTGCTTTACTGTTTTGGAAATTTTTTCGTTTTATTAGAAGTCTTATTATGGCTTTTGTTTCATTAGTTTCTTTCTCTTTGTGCTTTTTATGCTTTATGATGTATACTCTTAGTGCTAATGTGGACTGGGTTTTATGTTGTTTGGCTCTGAGATGGTACTCTCTTTATCCTGGTAATTATGCTAACATCAGTGGTTTATTCCTAAAAAATATATTGTATAATGTAGATTTGCACAAGTGTCTTGAGATTCTCGATGTTAGTAATGTCTTGTTTGGATTAAAATTGTGTTATTGGATTGGCAATATTTCGTATTTTTCTCTGGTTTCTTGGATTGTTATGAGATTATAATTTGATTTTTATTTTTACAATGATCTTAGCCTAACTTTACCCAAGAGAGGAGAGAGAATAAAAAAGTTTTTGTACCATTGGGAAAGTTTTGATTTTATTGGAAGTCTTCTAATTTTTTATTTGGGTTCTATTCCATAGTGCTTGTCGATGCTCTTTGACATATTTACCTAGTGCTCATGGAATTTGTTTGTTCTCGACGTGTGTTTGTGTTTGTGTGCAATGACACTATAACAATGTTATAATGAAATTTGGATGCTGTTCGCCGTGACAATATCTCTGATTTGAGTTCTATATTTCCATGAATTCTGTTAAAGGTGCTTAAAATTTATAATGATGCGTATAGATATAATTCTTCTGCTCTAGAGAATGCACGTGTGTCTGGTTTGGCAATTTATTTTCCTCATTTTGCATTATTTTTCCCAGTATAAACCCTTAAAAAATACAATGGCTATTAGCACATGCTATCTTTTCATCAAAAGACTATTACTGACTTTCCTCTCTGTAGATTCGGTGTTGCGATCCTTTTTCTTGATTTTAATGTGTGAAGTCTGGATTAAGTTCACGTCATTCTCCTAACTTATTCATGTAGAATATTAAAAACTCGAATTGTGAATTATATTTGGTTTTGGTACATTTGGATTCAACCGACTGTTGAGTTCAAGTTGGTTTTAAACTTGTGTTCAGCCTGCCGTCATTTATGCCTGAAACTTGCTATTGCATCATTTAAACTGCAAGAGATTGTTTTACGATTTTGATACCTATCACTCGGCAACTCTTTCATGCGAACTTATACTTTGGAGTATGAAGTTGCAAACACATTTTGCATCATTATTTTTAGGCAATCACATTTTGCATAGTAGTGGTTAATAATTTAGTAGCAGTGTACAGAGTCGAGAACAGAGTTACAAATTAGCATCAATTTCACGGTCAGCATTTTCAACCATATTTGCATTAACTACATAATGATGGCTGTTAGAATTTAAGGGACCTAACTCCAGTCAGGGTTGTCAATATGGGTGGATCAACCTGAACCAGCCCCTTTGCATCCAGGCCAAATCTGAAGGAATTAATCTGGATGTACATTCATAGATGACATTGTTGTTGACATTGTGGGAGTTGTCAAATTTTGGGTTATTGATTGTTTAAAATGTTGTTAAAATCAATGTATAAAAAATTGCTAATTCATAAGAATGTCATCCATTATGTCAAAGTTGACATACATGTAGCAAGATTGAATTTGTAGACTAGACCAAGCCACAAATTTGTCAGTATTCCAGGCTGGGTGGTCGAGCTCCATGCGTTTCATTGCCATGACTGAACTGATAGGATCATAAAGAAGAGGATGAAGGGAAGGCTCAAGTTCTTGGGCTAGGGAGAAGACTATCAAGGCAGCTTCTACTCCCAGTGTAGCTACCGTAGAATCAAATTAAAATTAAGCCATACTTGAGAAAAAATAATCGAGAGATTGATCCGCCTACGAATCACATTGTTAAATTGTTTGTTAAATATTAAAAACAATGAACTTTACTAAAACCTCCTACATTTTTAAATCTATCCGCCATACTACCGGTCTTCATGGGGGGTTGAGTTAGGCAATAAATAACGGCACGACCTGTATCATGAATGGTGTGTGGACTAGGATTAGCTAGTTTCAGTTCGGTTCTTTTAACGGGGTTGATGATTCTCAACTTGGACCTCCGCCCATTTCAACGCGTACTACATCTAATCAAGCAAATATCAAACAAAATATCGTATTGAATACAGAGTTTTTACGTAATCAGGTGAGAAGTATACACATCTTATTGAGCTCCAGTTCCCTTGCACTATAGAAATGAAGTTTGATTGTAGACTAATCAACGAGGAAAATACACCTACAGATGAAGAAAACAACTCCAAGCCATATATTTAAACAATACACATAAAATAGGCAAACACGACTTATAGAATGCGATTTCAAGCTGGGGTAGAAAGAAGCCAACTGATGTTGGTGCAATTTGAACTGAATCTGCTTTCAGTGTTTCCATTCGAGTATAACTCGAGCATACTCTTCTAGTTCAGTTTTCACAGAATCGTGAGCAAATAGAAAGAGATTCTTTGAACAGAACATACAAATCCATCCCATTTTGTCAGCAGAATCAGAAATAGTAGACAAAACTTTATGTTTGCACGAGTACATTTCCATTTCAAAGACACGAGGAAGATGTCAATCAGTTTCAGCTCAGCTCAGCCCAGCCATGATCGTTTTTGGTAATATGTGAAAGAAACTTTAGTCGTCGCTTCTTCTAATTAAATTACCAATAATCACCACAACTACAAGTACCATTCAAGAACCTATGGTATCTACGAACATCCCTTACTATTATCTCCGTCTCAACTATTCTGCTAATATACTTGAATGCTTCATGACAATCCTTACAAATCCTCAAATTCTTTATAATTCTCAAAGCTTTTCCAGGAGGTGTAACCCCACTCAACAGCCCAAAAGCAACAGCCAGTTTCTCACTGTGATATGAAAGCATCTCCCTCTTCTCGTTCTTCTCTAAATTGTGCAACATTTCTTCCCAAATCGGCACATAGCCTAATTTCTCTATCTCCTCCATCAACTCTGCTAGCTTAGCATATATTTCCTTGTTCCTCACGTGCTTTCTATCTCCGGAAAAGAACACGTGAACTGCTCCTTGGACTTCCATCCAACTCCTCCCAACTTCCTTTTTCACATTCCTATCTTTCATTATATTCCAAACTCCTTTAACCTCGTCCCACCTCCCTGCACTTGCGAATACATTTGCCAAAATCACATGAGCCGAATCATCATTTGGATCAATTGCCTGCAATCTCTCGCTCATTCTCCAAGCGATGCTGGCATTTTCATGATTCATACAACTTGACAATAACACGCGCCATACGGCTGCATCAGGCTCATAGGGCATTGTCAAAGCAATTTTCTCCGCCGTCTCTAACCTTCCGGCTCTCCCTAATGCACCTGCCAAACAAGTGTAGTGCTCAATCCAAGGCTTCAACTTATACTCAATTTCCATCTTATTAAACCACCTCTCAGTCTCTATGGTCATACCAGCATTGTAAAATGCTGTCAAAACTGCCAAAAAACTATACTCATCAGGTTTCATTCCTCGACTCTCCATCAAGCCGAAAAGCTCAATCACACAGTCTTTATCCCCATATTGTGCATACCCTGCCATCATTGCATTAAATCCAACTAGATTGATTTCCATTCCCAACTCATTAAACACTTTTCTTGCATCCTCCAAGACACCACATTTTCCATACCCATCAATCAACGCAGTCCCTACTATCACATCCAAATCCAACCCGGTCACCATTGCGTGTCCATGGATAATCCGGCATTGCTCGAGCATGGTCATCCCAGATCCAGCGCACAAAGCCCCAGACACACTATAAGCATTTGACAACACATCTTCCCTCCTCATCTCAACAAAGTATCTCAAAGCATCAATAGGCCTCTGATTCCGAGCCAACCCATTTATCATCGCCGCAAAACAAACACCATCTTTCTCACACATTTCATCAAACACCTTCCCCGCAGAATCCACGTCCCCAGTTTTGCAATAAAGCGACACTAAACCGGAACCAGTAAAGGGATTTTCTTGCAACGAGAACTTGACAACAAGTGCATGTAATTGAAACCCAAAAATATAATCTGGTAATAAAGAGCAGGTTCTGAATAACGTCGCAAAAGTGCGTGCACTGGGGGACGAACGGGTGGGGTGGCGGAGCATGGAGAGAAAGAGGCGGAAGGCGGTGGAAGAATGGGAGAATGCAGAGATTATGGAAGCCCATGTGACAGTATTTGGACAAGGGATGGAGTGGAAAAGGTGGAGGGCCGAAGAGTGAAGATTGGACTTGGAGTAAAGGGTGATAAGGTTGTTGAAGAAGAAGATGTTTTGGGGTGTGGGGCTTCTGCAACTTTTAATGGCTTTTGCATGTGCACGGCGAGGGTCAATATTCGTTTCGAGTGAATTCATGTTGGTTGGACAAAATAAGGGTTTATGTGCTTGAATTGAAGCAGGGGGTTTATCGACTTATAAACTTTATATATATATATATATTTGTAAATGGAGTTAAGAATTAAGCTCCATGTACCGATGAAATAGATTGAAATTTTTACAGATGATGAGATAACATCTAATGAAATTGTATCAACTGTCAAATGACAAAAATCTCTGTACATGCAGCATGATTGTTGAGTTAATTGCTAATTAATTTAGTGTAGGCCCTTGAATCATACATTTTAGTGTGCAATTAATTGACGGTTGGAAGCTTCTCTCCCCGAAAGCAGCAATTAATTCACCGTTGGAACTTCAACATAGGTAATGGGTCCCACGAAGGCAGCAGTTTTTGAAATTTTAAATGTGAAATACCAAAAATGTCTATTTATCATGACAACTGAATTAAATGTTAAGGTCGAAAATGTCATTATGCAGTAAAAGAGTCAAACATTTCGGCTGCCTTGTCTAAGCTCGGGTCTCACTTAACTGTGCAAACGGTAAAAAAATGAATTTTCTGAGCAGCCAAAAGTGCTCCCAAACAGGTCATATTCTTTAAAAATCATTTTTCTATAAACTAATTTTCAACAATATATTCTTCCAATAGAATAATTTTACACATGGACTCCTAATTTTTTCCTACTTTTGAACCATACATACTTCAAAAAATTCATTTTTCCCAAAATATATTCTTAATAAATCCACATCAAACATGTCCTAAATGTTGTAATCATAGGTAAATTCAAACTTTGAGACACTTGGAACAAAAATGAAGATTTTGAGCTTAATTGGATGGAGGAAATGAAGACTAACCTGATGGCATAGAATTGATGTGAAGCATTAAGAGAGCAATTGAAAGAAATTCACAAATTTCAGGGGTGAAATTCAACTTATAGGAACTGATATGCACACTTTTAGAACTTAATTGGTTGATGCAAATGCAGACTAACTTGATGGTGTAGAATTGATGTGAAGTATTAAGAGAGCAGTTGGAGGAAATTCACAAATTTCGGTGGTGAAACTCAACTTACAAGGACTGATATGCACACTTTTAGAACTTGAGGAAGACCAATCTTGGATAACTATGATTTCTCTCTCCCAATTTCCATTACTAGCTAAAAAGTAAAAAAAAGGTAAATAAATACACAGATATTCAAAAATAAGAAAAAGGGAGACTGACTTTATATTCTGAAAGAGATTAAGAAGCTATACAATTAAAATGTGCAAAAATAATCTCATGGTTCTGTTACTTTAAGTTTGAGAATCTTCAAAATACGATATGTTCGTACTCTTTTTCTATAAGATATAACGATCTCAAGTCAAACTGAGAGGTATTTTTCATTCATAAAGTGGAAAAAAGAGAGTTTTGCTTCCTTTTCCATCCAAGTTGCTCCTCTCTTTTTCACTTCTTTTTTCCATGCAATTTGCTTTATTTTTTGCTCACTTTTGAGTTTCCTTGATTTGTTTTTAGCTTACTTAAATGTTTGCTTATAGAATCGCTTTTTGTTAATAAATTAAGGAGTGTTAGCTCGATGGGAAACAATAATGTGACAATCCCTATTCTTGTAGACGTGCATTTCAGATATGTTCGGTTGGAAACTACTCATGTTAGTTGAATTAAGAAAAGTTGTGGG